TCTTGCTCTAGACAAACACTGAAAACTTCACTTGAAACTTATCTTTTGCAAAATCTGCAATCACATTAAAGCCATCTCAGCTGTCAAAGTACAGAGACAAGGTTAAACTACAGTAGTGCTACTGGGAACATCTGAAAAGGTATCAAACAGTGGGAGTGCGGAGTTCTCCAAGGACCCGTTCCTGAACCCGCTTTCCCTATAATATCTCAGAATATGGAATACATGCAGGTCCATAACTAAAGTCAGAGTTACTGAAGAATGCTGTGAAGGGATTAGGGTCCCATATAATCGTTAAATGGTAGCTGCCTGCAAATATACAGGCTTGTTAGATCCATCTCAGCACCATGCCGTGCATCTTAAAGCATGAGCCTCAGTAAAAGGAACAGGAGTGTTTGCCTTCATTTTATCAGTATGCCACAGTGTAAGCTTTCTCTGCAGCCAAAAATCAGCAAACAGTCTCATCCAGAGCACAAAGCACACTTCAGTGAAGTGCAGTGTTGGTGTAATGCGTTACTGTAATTAAATTACTTTTCCACTGAAAAAGTAGTAATTACTGTTCATTTTTAGGCATTTTAATTACAGTTACTTACAATGTACTTGTGTTACATTGTAAAATAATTAAACTCGCTGAATATCATTATTTAATTTCAATAATTTGTCTTCTAAACGTAGAAGTAAACTCTGCCGCTTTAACATCGCTGTAGTGCAGCTGCACGTCATTTCGCCAGTTTGCTGCATAGTCGTATTCTAAAGCGGAAGATGTCGGACTCGGCTGAAGCGAGTGGCGGTTTTATGAAATTGACACTCTTCACTTTTCTGAAACAAGCAGACAAGAACATTACAGTAATATGTAAGCTATGTCCTGGGGAGACAAACCCCCCCCAAAAAAAAACCAACAACTGTCGGCCGTTGTTAATAGCACGAGTAATCTACTGAAGCGCCTGACACGAGAGCATAGACGAACACTTGATCCTTGTTAATCATCCATGGATAACACCACGGCAACTCCTGCTAAGCAGGCAAAACTAGATTTTACTTCAGCAGCACAGAAAGAGTCTGAAGGTGAGCTTAAAAAAAAATGATTGCTGGCTACGTTGTGGAAGAGATGCTACCGCTGCGTACTGTAGAGTCTCCGTCTTTAAAAAATGTATGTATTATTTAAAGAGTTTAATTTCTATTGTTTGTCCACTCAAGGTTTACAGGGATTTTTAGTAGTATTTAGTTAAATTACTTATTTAGTAATTAAGTTACTTTTCTGACAGTAATTAGATATGTATTTTAAATACAATATTGACTAATTAGTAATTAATTACTTTTTTAAAGTAACTTACCCAACACTGGTGAAGTAATTAGACGAAAAGATTGCTTTCAGGGAAAATGTTCAATGCTTTAATTACTAGTAAGTAAAGCTGTTGTGTTGCACAAGTATGCAATTCAACAGACCAATAAAAATGAAAAAGTAGGAGATGTTTATTGCACGGCCACATGTAATGCTTCTGCTCCGAAACCAACCCCCTCATCTTCTCAATAATGTCAAACTAAACTCCAGTTCAACAATAGTTACGGTCAATATTTACTGAAGTCTACAGAAGTTCTCACGCAAAGGATGTGTCTTATGTGGTTTAACTAGTTGTCTACAAAAGGGGAACCAGCAGTTAAACAACTGAACTGGAGAATATTTGGTCCCGGTGCCAAAACAATCAAAAGACTGTTTCTTTGAGTTAATGTGAATAAGAGGCCTCCAGTCACTGAAGAGGAATCATGGAACCGGTGAAATCCTTCATAATCAAGCTTCAAAAGTTCAGAGTACAAGTTTATTTCCTAAGGACGTTCATTTCACAATACTGTGCAAGTCTTTCATGAAACGGACACAGCCTTTTCCATTATTCATGTCAAGATTAAGCCAGTCCAGCACATTTTTTTTTTTTTTTTTTTTTAAAAACCAGTCATCCCATCAATCTGTAAGCATAGTTCAACTATGACAGTCTGGTTAATACTGAAAGGAGGGTGTTACACACAGTACAGTTTGTGTACTTGTTTTTAGGGCTTCTTCATAATTTATGTTTCTTTGGTTCCAGCTTTCGTTTTGGTATGTAGTTGCATTTTCTAAGTTATTTAATAATATCCGTCCCTGCTTGGGGATTGTAGATTGAAATCAGTAGCCAACTTCATCTCTCATGAAATTAAGGTTTTAGTTTTATTCTTCATCAGAAACAAACAAGATTTCAGCCTGGGGCCATTTTCAGAATTTGGACCCATTAGGCTCAGCAGTGATAAATGTCTTGAATTATAATTACACTATGGTAAGAGTTTGTTTGGCCTTTTTGACCCAGTGTTACATAATGCCGCCGGTGTTACGAGCCAGGCCCAGAGTGATGTGGGCTGTGGTATGACTGGTATGCACAGAGCCTTAACTCAGGATGTTGAATTAAGAAAAGCTTCATTCATCCATCAAGGCTGGCAGGTTGGTGTGACAACTCAATCACATGCAAGGACTTCATACAAATTCCATTTTCAGATTCTGCATTCAGAATCTGAGACAAGACAGCTGCACTGCATTTGTAAAGACCTGTTCATGCCTTTTTATGAAAACAGAAATAAATCAGGATTCAATAACTTGGTCAATAAAGAACAAGGACTGATGACGGCAATAGTATCAATTAAATCATTGTCCCAAAGGGTTGAGGTCAGAGATCTGGAGGGATAAACTGAAGCACTTTCTCAGAACCAGACCAAATCCCTGCAATCAGCTTCCAAAATCTTGTGGCAGATCTTTCCACAGCAGCCGAGGTCAGCCACAGACTTGCTCTCATGATTTAAAAATGAAATGAAAACCTTTAACAATCTCATGGTTGGTGTTGTGTCCATTCAGCTACAGCACTAACAGTCACGCTCCACTCAGTGCAGAGAAATGAAGACTGCACAGGGTGGGACTTAACCCCCAGGGGGGAAAAAAACCAAACAAAAACAAGAGCTGGGGGTTACTTTCAGCAGCAAAACGCAACAATTGAATGGAAGAGGGATCAACGTCAGGATCCGACACTTCAGCTGTCAGGATGAAACACTTCCCAACGCAGGAGGAGACGAAGCTGCAGCTGAGATGTGAAGGAGGACGATGTTGAGACTTGCCAAAAAGGTGCTGAAAAACTGGATCACAACACCGAGTGACTCAGCTACTGTTCAGCTGTCAGACTACTAATACAAACAGACAGCTGGGGTTTTGGCTGGCATGGATACAGATAGAAACCAAGACACAGTGGGAGCACACGCCATGGAAACATGCTTGGAAAACTGTAGAATTAGACTGAATTTATTCCATCTTCCAGCTGTTTGTGTTTTGGTGGCTAACCTGTGAAACCTAAGATCCTTTTTACCTTTTCTTTAATAGAGTCACATTTGAAATGAGCAGCAGGGGGTATGAAGCAGAAAGGAAGGGAAGCAATTGGCTTAAAAAACAAAAAAAACAAAAACAAAAACCAGGTGGATGTGTGAACACAATGAGGTGGTGTACACATTCTCAGAACCACTGAGGTTTGGCACCTCCCTGCTTTCCATTTTTCCTAATACTGTCATGCAGTATTAATGTCTTACTAACTGTATTGTGTTTTAGGGCTTCAAATGTCCAAACTACAAAAACAGCAGAGCTTTTAAAGCCACTTTGGAGATTCACAATAGTGACTGAAATGAGAACTGACAGGAGTGTGCACAATTTTCTCACAATTCATCAAGAAACCACTCTACCTCTGATGGGATGTTCCTGCTGCTGAATAATTTGGTTTCTCTTCATGTAAATCTGAAGATTTACTTTCCCTCCATGTTCTTTCCATGTTACAACTAATAAAATATTTCATTGTGTTTAGATTAACACCGCATTTGCATTTTTTAAGATCATGCAGTCCAGGGTTTCCGTCAGCATATTTCAAGCCCGGCAGCCCACAGAACCAAAGCACTGGGAGTGGTTACCATTTATTTTTAAGATGCTTTAACATAAGTGAATGCTTGCTTGGCTACTTCCTGAACTTGTAGCTCTTATGTTCTTGACAACCCTACATTACTTTTTAATTCATGCTGCAAGTGGGGGAAAAAAATAAAATAAAAAAGTATGCTTGTGAAGAAGCAGTAATGTGAGAACCACAGACAGCTCTGCTGTTCCACTAATCCACACAGTGTCATGTGGTTGGCCATACAGCTTTTATTGAACAAGACCATCTGACCAGACTAAAAGTAGGAAAATACTTTAAAAAAAAAAAAAAAAAAAAAAAAAAAAAAAAATCCAATCTAGAGGCTGGACACTGCCCAAATACTGCATGCACCATCTCAAGCCATCACTCATAAGCATGCAGTGTTGTGTTTAACATTAATGACAAGTCAATGTCATTAGCTCACCAAGTGTGTAGCTAATGTTTGTGCAACAGCAGCATTGTTTTCACTAGCAAAGATCCACCCTGTCTGGTTTTTGCCAGGCCTGTGGTACCGTCTCCAGAGTCTTGACTCCCTGTTTATAAATGGTGGCTGCAACTAAGTTCTGTTGTGTATACAAATTAATGACAGTTGCTAACACGAGAAAACAAATGCAGAGAACAGAACATCGCCTTTGCATGGGATAGATAATAATTACAGTATGTGTGCAAATGCTTGTCCAAACATGAGAGATCATTAAAGAGCTGGATGAAATTCATGTCACCAAAACAAAAAACTGTATGGCATCTTTACAAGCGCTGGACCATTTTACAGTATAAGCTTGTATGCAGATCATGACTTGTACCATCAGACTTTATAAACAACTGCTGCTGGCACATTTCAGATGTATCTGAATACTGCTCGTACTTCAAATGCTCACAAATCATTAGTATTTGTTTCAATTATATAAACATGTCAAAATTTATGTTGTAGCATTCAAGTTTGCAGCTTTGGTGAGATTTGCTCCGGGGTTCAGCCAGGTGTAAACACAGATGAAGTGCCAAAACACAACTCAAGCCCGCGAGGGTGCCGTGACTCACCAGGTCTGCAGCGCAAGCCGTCAGCAGTCAGCTCCTGGCCCTCAGGACACACGCAGGTATATTTGGGGGAGTGTTTGTTGATCTGTGGTGCAGGCAGGCACATGTAGCTGCAGCCTCCATTTTCACCTTTCTCTGAGCACCAGTTAGTACCTGCACACAAAGGTTAGCAAATAAAAGCTAATCAAACCATTTCAGTTAACGAGTGTCACATGGGTACATTAAATCCACAGTGAAAGGAGCTTTAACGGCCTCTTCTACTATGAAGTATATCCACAGGTTGACGGAACAAAATTAGGGCTTAAGTCTCATCCATAGTGTGATCGTCGGCATTTTCATCCTATGGATCTTCGCACACATGATCATTATAAACCAAGAGGACACATTTTGATAGACTAAGTGTTTAAATATTACAGATTAACCACAAAATATCAAGAAACTACAGCTTCTAAGTGTACAAAATTAAAGTGGTGGTATGTATTGCATACATAAGTATACTGTACATCATGGAAACAAATACTGCTGAGTTTCTATACAAGTACTGTGTTGGACCCACTGGTGATCTCATTGATACAGGTATAGCCCATTGACAGAGCTCAATGGTCATGGATCTTTACCTTTCTTATGAGAACTTTAAGAGGATCGACTGGCTTATGTTTTCCTTTATAATCCAATCAGAGCACAACATGTGACTGTAAGGCTTCACAAACATGTGAGGATAAATTAAAGATTGGGGCTCGACGTACTAGCCTCCTCTGTTACACCCTTTACATGATTCTCAACTTGGTTGCATCATTAGCTATTAAAACTTGCGTCAATAATGGCGACATGATCACAGCTTAAAATTATAATCACTGGCACTCCTTGTACCTTGATGTGTAATTACAGTAATTTCTGATTACTTTCCCCTCATTAGCTTTCATTAACTCAGAAGTGACATCAGCTCTGATACTGGGGTTCCTGTGATGTCACTGAGCCTGCAGGAGTAAAGATTTCCAAGCTTAAGTATTAATATCCGTCAGTTCCTCCTCTGCTAGTTTCAGCTCCCTCCTTTCTTACCTGACAGCTGAATGAGCTCATGGTACACTATGATGTCCTGGGGGTCGTTCAGGTTGCTGGCCAGCGTAACCACGTCAGAGCCTGTGAACTTGTTTGCACCGTAGATTGCTTCCTTTTCCCCATCAGTCCAGAAGACTCGATCCTGGACAAAGGGCAGAAGAATAAACAAAAACTTTAACACTGAAGTCCTCTCAATCACAGCAATACAAAACTTCCATAAATCACTGTCATCACACAAGTGCTTAAGTGCCAATAAAGTGTCAGCTTTGTGTCATTACAAGAAAACTTGCTCCCATTAAGATTTGGGCAGATTTTTACACTGATGAAAACTTTGGCTTTATTCTGAAATTTTGTAACAGAGTTAGCACTAAAGCACTAAGTAGCACAAGAAATGTATTCCCTTCAGGAAGCAATACATGACTTCTTAAGAAGTAAATCATAACTTGAGTAAAGTCCTCCAACACCACGTTTAATATGACTCATTAAATTATCAGAAACAATTTCAGTGCCATAACATACCAACATTTATACATCTTAGAAACAATTACATGTCATTTGTTGTGATATTGTTTTATACCAATATAAAATAAGAGTTAATTCTACAATAATCTGTAAACTGAGTAGCCCTTCAACAATTGTAAGAAATTTATGAATCCACAGTAATACAAGTCACATCTGCTCAGATCATGTGTGGTGTTCCTGCACTGCACGCAAAGTTGCATCTAAATATTCTGATGAAGCTGCCACATGGCTTTTGATGCTTACGTTAAGCCTGTTCATGTGTTAATATATTAAAATATAAAATAAGGACGAGGACTTTTTATAATGACTGAACGCGATTTAACCCCTGAAAAGCTTTATGGACAAAATAAAGCAAAATTTTGCTTCAACATAAATGTTCCTGATGATATTAAATGGATGGATTTTTATAAACTGTGCTGTTAGGAGAAATCTGATGATGGTTTTAGACCTCATGCCATCGTGTGAATAAATGTGCCATCACATCTATACTTTTATACAGAATACCTGAAAACCCCACACACAAACACATGGGAAAGTCTTTATTCAAGAACTGGAAGGTAAAAATGTACACAGAACACTCGATTTGAAAGGTAATATCTTCTAGTTGTTTTGCATGTTGTTAAACACAAACATCAAGTGTTTTGGTGGATACTAAAACATGTCAACACTGTACCTGCACATTGCAGTTCTATAAAATATGCAAAAAACAGATTAAAAAAAATTTTTTTGGTTCATTTTCCATTAGTCTGCATATAGTTGCTGTGTGGGTCATTGGCAGATCATGTACAATACACATTGAGGGCGACTGGGTTGATTAAAGGATTTTGTGCAACAAAAGTCTTTATCATACTTGTACATGGTTTGAAGCTGGGAGCAGCTTTTCCTTTCCTGTGTTTGATTTTTGTAATTTTACTTAAAACTAGGACCAGTTTGTTTTGGTAGATGAAACGTCATCAAGGACAAGGCAACTGGCACCAAAGACACATTTAAAAACATGCAAATAAACTCATGTACACAGGCGATGAGGTCTGTGGCAAATTTTCCCAGACAGATTTCTTAAATGCAATGTGCAATAACTGATTGTGTCATGAAACTAATTTCCTGGATCAGAACTACATTTTTAAAATGTTTTGTTCATTATCCTCAGACATGTGATGTAAAGCGCTCTAATGCCCAACATACAGGTCAGACAGTTCATCTTCCAGCTGTCAACATAAACTGACCCAGAATGGCTTAGAGAAAAGACAAATGCAGTACCTCAAAAACGGTGAGAGCAAAGGGGTGAGCGAGGTACTCTGAAGACTGGAGCACTTTATTCCTGTTGTCCCCGTTTAGGTCGACGCTACAGAGCATGTGCAGCTTTGAGTCGACCCAGTACAACCTGCCTTTGATCAGATCTGGGGTAAAAAGAAAAAAAAAAGAAGCAGGAATTAAATGGGAAGACTAAAGAAGGGAGAACAATGGGAAGGAAAGTAGAAAGCAGACAGAAAAGTGGAATGAGATGAAAGATTAAATTGTTGTACTGATGATTCTTTAACAGGATGAATCAACTGACTTTTAGTCTTAATGGTGCAAACGTCACAAAAGAAAGCCGCACTGCAGTTTGTTTACCCATTTCTTTCTGTAAAAAGTCACTGTCCAAGTCCATTTAAAACACTAAGCATTTCCTGTAAGGTATTTTCAAGCTTTCCAGCACCTTGTAGTTATTGTAAGTATATACTGAGATTACACCATTTTACTAGAAACAATGTAACAAAACAATCAGATGAATGAGAACTTTTTAAAACACATTAACCTAGGAGTTGTGACATTTTTGGAAACAATGTATAAAATGAACATTGACTCAGACTGGTTTGTACAGGCACATATTTGAATCTGTATTTCACCAGAACGCCTGACTAACCTACAGCTGCTACAGCAACATAACCATCACTTCGCAACAAAACAAAAAACAAAACAAGACTAGCCTATTGATTAGTATTACTATGAATTCACCAACTCTGTTAAACTGAATACATCAGGACTTCAGCTTATTTAATGTAAAATCCCCTAACTACAGCCACCCTCTTATGTTGTTACCTGGTAAAAAAAAAAAAAAAAAAAAAGAAAAAAAAAAAAGGACTCTTCTTAGAGACTGCACAATTGGTTACTCAGAATTTAGCTTACAAAAATTGATTGAAAAGGAGGCCAAAGTCAAGCCAAAGTTCATTCAAATTGCATGTTAAGTCCCACACACAGTTCCATCAGAGGGCAAACATCAAAGACTGACAGATCACACAATAGACTCAAACAACAGCAAGCCAGGGTCGAGCAGCGTCCTCTTCAAAGATTCTCTGCAACTCATTTTCTTCTTTCTCATTTACCTCCTAAGACCTGAACTCTTCCACGGCATGCATTTTTAATTTCTTTGATATTTGGTCATATTGGGGCCTGATGAATGTAAAACCAAAGAATTACCAGATTTATTTTTTTTTACCTTTTTTTTTTAAGAAAAGAGCCAAATATGAGGCCATTTGTTTAAAATTTTGATAGAACAGTAGCGGTATAATGTCCTCGTAAATGGATATCAGGCCCACGTAGAGCAAAATTCAGTATTTTGGTCTAAATAACCCAAAATGTGATGTCCACATATGTGGACGCCAGGTCCTGGGAGGTTAAAGAGTGAACTATTCAAATACCAAGCGATTTATAGTCAAAGTATTAAAATCACAGGCAGCTTAAGTGCTTGTGCTGAAATTCTCACAGTGACATCACTAAAATTTAAGACCAATCCAGACTGAATTTAAGATTTTTTTTAAAAATGACCTGTAGACACCCCAGACTTAAAGAAAAACGTGCAGTGACTTGTTGGTTTGTTCCTACCCAGTGTGATTCCATTAGGCCACTGGATGTCTGTCGCCACCAAAACCTGTCTGTCCACTCCGTTCATACCAGATTTCTCTATCTTGGCTGGCTCTCCCCAGTCAGACCAGTACAGAAACCTGTAGGACCGACACAATCATAAGTAAAAGCAGACCATAAGCGGGAGATCAGAAGGGTTTCATCCAACACCAAAATGAGCCGTCCACTTACCCAGACAGCGGATCCACAGCAATATCGGCCGGTTCTTTGAGGCCCCTGTTGAACAGAACTTTCTGCTTGGTACCATTGAAACTGGCCACAGAGATTGTTTTGGTTGAGAGATCAGACCAGTACAAGTTCTTGTAGATCCAGTCCACAGCGATTCCCACTGGAGTCTGCACGTTGTCAATGACTTTCTTATGGGTGCCAATGTCTACACGCTTGTCCAGAAGAGTGCTGAGTGGAGAAGAGTTCAGCATCGGACAGATGCGTAGAGAATTTATACATGTATACAGTTTTTCAAATGCTGCTAGGACTCCCAGTATATTATCCTCTCAGTCTGAGACCTCTATATCACATAAAATTCAAAACTATTGCAGGCAGCTCAGTAAAATAGAACCTTTCATTCTACACATTTAGATTTTTTTGATGAAAATATCAAGCAGCTGAATTGCAACACGGCCACGAGAAAAACTTACTGCTTTAACAGACCAGAGGAAAAAATTTAAGTTTACCTTACAAATAAAATCCATTTACCCTGTGAAGTTACAACTACATTGTGCTGCACTGTCAATGCCTCCCATAGTCCTACAACAATACTATTGCCCGTTTGCCTGCGTCATTCCCTCTAATCACCTACTACCCTACCTGTAGATCGCCTTCTGGCCCAGGTCAGCCCAGAAAATGGTCTGCTGGTCAAAGTCTGCATCCAGAGCCACTGCGTTTCTCTGCTGCTCCACAATCTGAGTGTACTCCTTCCTCTCCAGGCCCAGACGACGGATATCACGGCGGTTGGTGAAGATGAGGCAGGGCTCCTTACCTGAGGACAGGAAAGGGGTTATTGAATGACGACAATCTTTCCAAAGTATTTTATGCCTTCCATTTATTGTTTAGGACAAAATTATTGGTCATAGTTCTTAAAACTATTTTAAGAATTGGGATTATTGTGTGCTTAAAGTAGGAGAGCTTGTTTTCACCCATTGATTTCTATTCATCAGTAAAGTAGTGGAAGGGAACAGGCGTCATCTTTGTCAACAAGCTGAACAATTAAGCTTTTTTTTTTTTTTTTTTTTAACTGCAGAAACACATAAGACCTACAATGGATGACACCTGCAGCCAGATAACACCAGACCCTGTGTTGTCAAATACACAGTAGTACATCTCAGGTTGTACATAACTCATTCTTGGCCCCCCCGAAAAAACGACTTACAAATGAAAATGTTCAGCCGTGGTATTGTTGTGATCCTAAGCCTGCTTTGAAAATATACACCTTAAAAATCAATTCACCACCCAGCTCTAGTGCCAACCCATCATTTTCCCCATTATTCCACAGAATTGTCATTCTGCTGGATTTTTTCCATAGCTGAAAGCTGCATTAAAACCACAGTTTTTACAGTTAATTAGCTTCACCCATTTAATACTAATGCAATCCAACAAGAGCCCTGTGTTAAAACGCTGCTTTCCACTCTGAAAGCCTTTCAGAAAAGAGAAACGGACCATTTCAACTTGTGGACCTTCATATGCTGTCAACATCCCTCCTCCTGACATTAAAGTGTTTTGGTTTTTTTTTAGCAGCGAACAAGCCTAAAAGTTTAATACTGATTTGACATACAAAGGCACTATCATCACTTTGCATCCGCAAATTATGGACCATTTTGAGTCAATGGCGTGAACTTGCTGCGCTTCGGAGTGAGAGCCCACAGTATAGTGGTTGAACTCTATCACTTAGTTCTTTTGGGCTGCAAACTATATTACTGTTGGCAATAAAGGAGCTGGAGAATCCGAGTGAACTCCCCCCAAAGAAGAAATAGATCTGTGGGTGTGTTTTCAGCACTCTTACCTCGATGTATCTGAAGCAGTTAGTCAACTAAAGCCTCAAAGCTGCTGGTTATAAGCGATGACAAACCAAATGCAACGCCTACAATTTTCTCCCACACAGAGTCTTCAGACACCGAGTGTGAATCACTAGATGTTTTTCTGTCTGGCAGCAAATCATACGCACACCAAAGGTCATAACCCTGATCAGACATGAAGCTGCCAGTTCAGTCACATCAGCAATCTGTAAGGGTTCAGTGTCATCTAAAGCCACTGCAGCTCAGACACACTGGATGCAGCCGTTTGTGAAAAGTAGGAGTAAGTGAGGCTCAATTTTGGATCACGATGGACAAATCCAAGTTTTTGGGTCTGTACTGGACAGACGTCTCCATATATGAACAGTTACACATGTGAGCATCAAAGTGACTCCGCTGCCCCCCCAGTACATGAATACATCCTGAAATGTCTTTTCTGCCATGAAGATGATATTTCACCATAATCTTTCAAAAGAGCCCAAGTTTGCATTGCTCAGGACTATTCCTGCAGGATCTGAGGGGTCAGCTCAGACTCTTGCTACTTATCAGGAGACGAGACCCATTTCCACAATACTTTACAAGACACCAAATTTTTGTTTAGCTCGAGGGATGCAAAACACCGTTATTATCCAGAGATCGGGACCCAGACAGTGGCAGAGCCAACAATATAGACAAATATGATCAAAATGTTGAGGTGAAATTTTAATAAGATCACCCAGCTGCTAACTCACCAACAGCCTTGCAGACGCCGGTGGTCGGATCCATCTGATAGCCATTGTGGCATTCACACTTGTACCCTCCCTTCAGGTTGATGCAGATCTGACTGCAAATGCCAGGATTCATGCACTCATCGATATCTGCAGAAGAGTAGCAGAAAGGCGAATCATGAGGCGTGTGTGAAGAAAGAACAGCTGTATGCGGCATGTTTCATCTATCAAATCTGCTAAATGCCTCAGTTTGAATAATCAAATCTTTCTATGGGGGCTCAACAGCTGTATAGTCCATGTGTATTGATGAAAATTTATCTTGCTTTTCAAAAATAGGATGTTCCTGGGATTCCTACTGCATGAGTGTAAAGTGATTTGAGCCTCGAATACACAAAATGCAAATTAAAACTTGCTTTAATTGCCGCTGATGTTTTGCCAAAACACTCGACGAGCTGCTCTCATCAGAATTAGATGTAAATTTATCAAACGTTTTCCAGAGTTTAGTGATCATTCTACATCCTGGAGTAGATTAACGCTTCTGTGGAACCAGTGGGGTTCATACAGATGGGATTATACACGTTTACCAAATATCCAAAGCAGGGTTTGAGGCCAAGATTGGCTCAATAACAGAACAGTGACGGATCAGTGCCTCCTAAACGTAACCAAGAGGATTTCTGCTTTTAGGAAAACAGATTACGACACGCCCAATCACATTACACGCCAAACCCTTCAGAGGCCAGAAGTGCACAACACCACCAGCCCATCTGACCCATGTGATTAGATATTTGAGGGCAAGCATAATTAAATATTCCTTAAGTCTTAAAGGTTTTAGATTGAATTCAGTGTATCAAAGTTGTTTGGTTTTTGGATGGATGCCTATACTTGTGTACATTCAGACAGTCTCACACTTTTGAACCCTTTTAGAAAAATGCATTCATCCTGTGTTGAGTAATAGTTTCCCAACGCTAAATACTGCAGTGTTGTCAAAACTGATTTAAAATTTTCTTTTAGCATTTTTCACCAAGCTGTGTAATGCAGAGATCGCATACCTCCGCAGGTCTTGTGGTCTATAAGCTGGAGCCCAGGCGTGCAGTCACACTCGTAGCCAATCACCATGTCTTTACAGATGTGCGAGCAGCCACCGTTGTTCAGGAGACACTCGTTAAAATCTGGAACACAGGAAACAGCTCTGTAGTTGTGTGTCCAATTAGATCTAAAAGGTTACAATAAGGTGGTTTGGGAGAAGTCTGAGTCGAAGCTAAACGAGGATTGTATTCACTGAAAGATCTTCAAACCACAAGAGGTTTGAATATCATGAATTGGCATTTGTTAGTAGACTCAGAGGGTGGAACACAATATGGAAAAGCCCCATAACTTTTAAGAAAAACATTTAAAACCAAAAAGGCTAAAACGTGCATCAGTAACCTGTGTGGACGTGAAGCAATGTACTGTGTAAGGTAGCCAGAAGATAAGCAACCAATTGGAAAACCAGAGTGATGACGAGCGACTGTTTAGCCATTCCCAATTTTTAATATTTTGCTTCCAAGGAAAGACACTAGTTATTCTCAAAGCTTTTAAATGTCTTTTAAAGGTTCTTTGGACACCAACTGCTTTTTTACTCATTTTTCAGAGCAATGTTTGTTAAGACACTTATTTGCCTTTAGTATGTAGTGGTAACTAAAAGGCACGAACCAGTGTTGTGTTGAGGTCTTTGGAGCATCAGTGCCATAATGAAAGCTGGGTAAACAGGTGTGGCCTAATTTCTTTTAAATCTGCAATTTCATCCTGTTGTATTAAAGGAATCTGGCTTTCTGAAGTTGTCGTCCTCTTGTTCTTTATACATCAAGCATGTGTATGAAACCGGCAGCAACAAGAACCAACAACTGCTATCCTTGTCAGGATTAACCTCCTTTAACATGCACTTGGCTGACCATCATTTACATCAGCACAAAGTCAAAGGCTGTAATTACAGCACAAAGACCATGTTTGTAATTAGTGCGCTTGTTGAAATCTTAAAATGCACAACTATAATTATTATGAGAATAAACCCAACAGCAGGGAGAGACTGATCTCCCAGAACCCTGCAATCACAACAGTAAGCACATGTTCTGGGTGGTCAGAGCAAATCTCTAAAAACCTCCCGAAGCTGAAATAGAAGAAAATGAACCAAATGCATGACAAACTGAAGAAAATCCCTCAGCATGGCATCAGCTTAGAAGCTGGCGTAAACTTCAGATCACGGTGCTTTAGTTTGTCTGTGGGCAGAGAGTGTCAGTACAGAGATGGCTGAAATTCACCATCATTAAGAACATACAGTGTGATTTATTAAGGTGTAAGGCTTAATGAGCCACAGGCCAACATCCTTTCACGTGCTCAAGCTACAGCTGTTATTATTTCTAGGGGGTGGGGTGGTGGTGGTTAGGATGTCACCATTGCTTTTCATTTCAGCACTCTGAACACTTGTTTGGCCACCAAGAATACGTTTTATGTACCCCAATATGCATTTTGACAATATACACTAGTTCTGTACAACAATCTGTAACATTCTTACATAAATAGTCATGAATTGTCATGCAAATTTGTCAAAGTTTCTTCATGAGTGATTGTAGATTTCTTTTTATATTATTTCCAGATCTTTTCATTTGTTTGAGCTGCAGCTGAATTCATATATTTAGTATTCTGATTGTGGAAAGCCTGATAGTCACTTTTGGTTGAGTTGTTTGATCCATGAAAGAGAATTATTTAGACCTGAACTGTAGAACGCATGAAAGATTCATGGACTGATTTACGTTAAAAAAAAAAATCCCACATATTATCAGCATAAATCCATGTGTAGCACAGAGGAAGGAATGTCATTGCCTGAAATAAACTCTCCCGGATACTTTCAGGCCCGCGGGAAAAGACATCTGAATTCGCTGAAAAGCAAATCATCTCCTGAACACGTTTCATCTTTTCATTGCAGTGAGGCATCAATGTCAAAATCAGAAAAGGAGCAAGTCTGTGACCTAAGAGGGGCATGACCCGGAGTTGAAAAATCAGTCATGGATGAATTCAGTTACATTTTTTAATTAAAAAATAAAAATGAAAACTTACTGCATTCCTTGATCGGTTCATCGCTCCAGTCGGGACAGTCTCTGACCTTGTTGCACACTTTGCTCATCTCTATGCACTCCCCGCTGCGACACTTGAACTTCTCTGGACCATTACACTGAGTCACTGCAGGGAGGAGGAAGAAGAATAACCTCATTCAACATTTGGATGTTTGGGTCAGAATTAAAACATGAAAGCAGGGAGTTCAGGCTAGTTGTGGTTGTGTGATGATGTAGGGGATGGCACACTCTGGGCTCCTTAGTACCAACTGAGCGTGGCTTAAACATCACAGGCTGCGTGTGTATCGCTAGTCCATCCCTTTATGTTTACAATGAACTCATCAGATGGCTGCTTCCAACAGGACAATGCACCATGTCAAAGCTCAAACTAGTTTTTGAACATGGAAATTTGTGACACGGGTTGAGTACAGTGAACTCAAACTGCTTCTAGCATCACCAGACCTCAAACCAGAAGAGCACCTTTGGGATGTGGTTAAGTAAAGACCTCAACTGTTTGATGCCATCATGTTAACATGGAACAAAATCTCAGTAAAACCTAAAATCCATACAATTAAATATCAAAGGCAGTTCTAAAGGCAAAAGGAGGCAAATACAACTATGGAAGGTTGTACTTAAACTGCTTTAGGGCTTGTTGTAGGCCCTCAGTCTATCCTGTGTGAAAATTAGCTCCTCCCCCTTTAAGCCAAATTTCTTCTCATTATCTGCCCCTAAACATCCTGGAAAAGCACATGTGGGCAGAGCTTCTAAACTCAAAGCTAAAGGTGTGTGCCTGACCCATTTTACAGGACATCTGCTCTCAGACACACGTCTCACAGGGATTATATGCACTAACCTCATGGTTTAAAACTAGACTTGTTTAAAATAAGCATTCAGCGCTTTAAAAAGCTGAAGTTGCTTAATATTCATTAATTTTTCCATCTGTCAGAGTAAATATTACATAACAAATGTAATCACAAGTTTCTAAAACTACACTGGAGCAAAATCAGCAAAAGATAATTGGGTGTTTGTTTTTTCACCGAATATACATCTTCTAGATTAGGACACAAAAATGAAACTGCCACAAATCTGGAGAGTGACAGCTTTCCTTTGAAGAAACAAGGAGCACCACCTGAGGTTGACTGTTACAAAAAACCCCTGAAAAATGTCAACATTTGCATGCCCAGAGCAGCTTTAAAATTAAACACTGTTGGTACCTCAGGTGAGCCTCAAGATGTAGAAATGGAAACTTGCATGTTGTAGAAGAATTCCCCCCCCCAAAATAAAAAACCACATCCTGATAATGCACTCAGGTGATAAGTTTGTGAACATTCACACCAACACACAACACTTACTGTTTCTACAGTTTGCCTCGTCTGATCCGTCTGCACAGTCTCTGAGGCCATTACACTGTCTGCTGCCCAGGATGCAGTTTCCATCGTCACATTTGAACTGATCCGACCCACAGGTGCGAACAGCTGCCAAGGACACAAACATGAGTTGCACATGTGCTGACATGGGCTACTCTTTAAACACTAAACATTTGTGAATATTCAGTGAACCATTCAAAATCCATTCATCAGTGCAGAATAACTAAAATACCCAAGTTTGTTTGAATTCAGCCAATTTGTGATAGCTGTTCACTCAAAGAGTGAAAAGAAAAACATCACTAGATAATTATGTTTGTATTCATGAGCACCATATTAAAATTATCAGCCACGAAAGCTCTTGTAAGTAAAAAACAAAGCCAATTAAAAATGTGCAGATGACTGACATCTTGTTTTGTTTTTTTACTGAATCCTAATCACAGCATGGATTAAAGTGGAGAGCATCGACTGAGGCAACGAACAGATTATCAGGTAATTAATGGAAGAAACGTAGGAGTGTAGCACCCACAGCTGGAGGGTTTGTTTTATTAAACCTCTTTAACACTGAAATAATTTAAGCCAGTTTATACCAAACATTTTCCTTTGATACAGATGAAATGAAAACAAGTGAAAGCCAAGTTTTCTACAGAAGCAATACTGCTAATCTGTTCTGTAGAAATTGATACTCAGCACTTGTTAGAACAGCTGTTTGATGCTATATCCAAGTGTGCATCCACTTTCTGCCATTTATCTGCGTTTGGCTAACAGAGGGCAGCGATCGGAGCAGAGATGCCCAGACCTGGGCATGGGTGTTGGACTTCCTCACTGGCAGAACTCAGGTGGCGAGGGTGGGTAGATGCGCTAACAGCATCACCATCAACACAGGAGCACCACAGGGATGTGTCCTCTCGCCACTGCTCTACTCCCTCTACACTACAGACTGTGTGGCCACCCACGGCTCCAACACCATTGTAAAGTTTGCTGATGACAGTGGTGTTGGGTGCCATCTCCAACAATGAGGTGGCCTACATGGACGAAGTGAAGAATCTGGCATCATGGTGCCAGGACAACCACCTCCAGCTGAATGTTGGCAAGACCAAGGAGCTGCTGGTGGACTTCAGAAGTAGTCAGCACAGAGACTACAAGCCCATTATCATCAATTGAGCTCCAGTGGAGAGGGTGCAGTCCTTCAAGTATCTTGGTGTCCACATCTCCTCAGAACATCCAGAAATGCATACACTATTATATATTGTACATATATTTATTAGTTTCAGGTTGGCCATTCTTGTATTTTGCTCGTTTGTGTTGTTGTGTTTGCACATCTGTTGCTTGTGGGGCTCGCACACAAGAATTTCACTCGCATGTGCTGTGCCAGTGTGCCTGCACATGTGATGTGACAATTTAAAAAAAAAAAAAAAAAAAAAAAAAAAAAAAAAAAAGGGTCTGCCCACATTCAGGTCCAGACCAAAAAGGCTAGGCAGCGCCTGAACCATCTACGACAACTGAGGAAGTTCAGGGTCTCTCCAGAGATCCTCAGGATTTTCTATACAGGCGCTGTGGAGAGCATCCTCACACAGAACATCTCATCGTGGTTTGGGAACAGCTGTGTGAAGGACCAAAAAGCTCTTCAGAGAGTGATCCGTACAGCAGAACGCTGCTGCAGGATTGCTCTCCCCCCGCTTCAGGACACCTACACCAGGAGATGCCGGACTAGAGCAGCGCAGATACTGAAGGACCCGTCCCATCCTGGCAACAAACTGTTCCAACTTCTGCAATCTGGTAGAAGGTTCCGCATCATCCGGGCAAGGACAGAGAGACTCAAGAGGAGCTTCTATCCCCAAGCCATCCGGGCCCTGACACACTAACTCATGCTCCCTCTCACATAATCCATAAGTGACTGAGAGGACTCTTTTATACACTAAACCCACCGGCACAATGTACATTTCAAATTCCTTTAATTTTAAATATGTTCATATTGTCTCTTCTTATTTAATTCACTTAATGTACAGAATTCAACTGCTTGCTGCATACAATGCTACTACTGCACATTCACCTAATGTATATAATATATAATGTTCTTCCTCTCTCCCCCCTTTTGCACAAGTCGAGGAGCGTGTCAGGTTACATTTCACTGTGTTATATACACTTGTATAACTATGCATGTGATGAATAAAGAACCTTGAACCTCCCCTCAGAGGACTACAAAGGAATTCCCAAGCCAGCCGAGAGAGACTCTCTCCAATGTGTCCTGGGGTCTGTCTCAGGACCGTTTCCCCTGTAAGACATGCCCAAAGCTACTCAACTAGGAGGTATCCAGCAGGCATCCTAGTAAGATGTCAAGCACCTGAACTGCCTCCTTTCAATGTGGAGGAGTAGTGGCTCTATGCCAAGTGCCGCCAAAATGGTGGGTGATAATCGTTGTGTGACCATTTCACTTTATGTGCAAACAGAAGCTCCACCCGCTGGCTGTTGGGAAAGGCTACCCATCAGAACAACACTGGATCAAATGGAGCTGGAAAGGAGCCCAAACTGCTTGTTTCAGATAGTAAGCTGTAGTTTATCCTCTGTCCAGTATCAGCTAAAGATTATTTGGGATTGTGAATCAAGCAAAGCTTGTGTACATACGACAGTTCGCTTCGTCACTGCCGTCCTTGCAGTCGGAGTCTCCATCACACCTCCACTTCTTGTGAATGCACTCTCCTGAGCGACACTGCATCTCGCTGGGCGAGCACTTGGCTGGGGGTGTTGGGTGCCGACCACAGCGGGATGGAGACTCATCTGATTGGTCCTGTTAGGACACAAGGTGACTTTTAGGGCACCGCAAGAGCTGATACTCATTTACTTTACAGAGAAACTGACATAATCATATTATAGGACCTCCTGATTGGTTAAGTGGTGTTAAAGTGTTTTGCGATGTTTATTTCAGCAAATATTCAGTTTGCAAAATTTTCTATGTGCAGTTTTCTTGCCTCTTCTAGCAATTTTCTGGAAGGGAGCCTGCCATAAGTAAAAGTAAATACCAGTTACAATGGAAAACGGGTTATAATAAAGTGTTTGACCTTACGCGACCATCAGATTAAAGACTGCCAGCAGGAGCAAAAAGCAAACATGTACAGTCTAAAAAGGACATTTGTCTTCTTGGTCAGTGCTAGTTAAAAAAAAAAAAAAAAAAAAAAAAAAAAAAACCCCAAACAAACCACAAATTCAAACCGCTTCTATTTGACGTGGTCTTTGGAAGGGTTTGGAAGACTTGTCTGTTGAATTGTGTTGAGTTTAAAGTTAAGCACAGCCATGTCATGAGAATAAAAGCACTTCAAATTTTATTTGAAACGAGTGCCTTGGAGTTCTTTGATTTAGCATATATAATTTAGTCAGTTTTACACTTTCAATCTGAAGCTTTCATTAAGAATTGAAGCTTTTGAATAAATCCCCTGGAAATGCACAGTGCTGACCAAAATTACATGTAAATTATATAACGAAAAGCTGAAATTTAATGGTTCCAGCTTTTTAAATGTGCAACTCTGCAATACTTTTACATAATTTAAAGGTCTGAGGTGTTGGTTGAACAAAGCATCATTGTAGTGGTGTCAGACTCCGCTCTGACTGTCTTTTGGACTTTTGAAAGCTACAGAGACCACCCGTGGAAACCATTCATCCTTTCAGTTGGGCAAAAATCATAATTCAGGAGGTTTTTGGGGACTTGAGACTGCTTGTCAGAGAAAAAAAAAAAAAAAAAAAAAGTTAAGTCTAACAGCTGTTGTGCCACCTTTTCAATTAATCACAGCATCACCAGTTGCCTCACAGAAACTCCCAATTTGCACAGCAGTACAGCAACATTAAGTCCCTCCAGCTGATCCAAGCAGACAGAAAAGATTTGCCAAGCCAGGTGTAACAACACTGTTTGCCACACACGAGCAACTCATGTTGACAATATTTTATTTATTTTTAAAATTATGCCGACTGACAAAGCCTCCATAAAGTGATTTCACTGAGGCATCCTGGAGTATCAACAGCTGTGGGTGATGGAGCTGAGGGTGAAGGTTTCTTTACATTATTCCAGTAGACAGGAACAATCTGAAGGCACAGACTGCCTCCCTTCACCATTCATAAATACAACAGGTCTGAACTCTAGTTAATTTTGCAGAGAAGCAACATTGAGTGCATCATCCTAAAGTTTTGTTGGCAAACTCCCAACTCAAAATTGTGTCTAACTTAAAGCTAGTAAACCTGGCAGGGAGAGCTGATGGCTCAGACTCAGTTCACCTATCAGGCAAGCCGGCTGGCCAGCCATTTGCTTATCTAGGCTACTGATGATGTTCCTGGCAATGACAGGTGTGTTTTTTTTTAAAAACCAAAACATTCTCTGGCCATCAGCAGCTTATTTCATATTAAAGTGTGAAATTGAGGTTTAAGTCACTGTAATCTGAAATACAATGACTAAAAAGCAAACGAGTCCTTTATTAAACCAGCTCTGAAACAAGTTAAAACAAGCACATCTGTTATGTAATACTTTAATACAAACTTATTTACTAGGGTCTGGTTTGAGTGTATGAGAAACTTTAGTCAAGCTGCATGTCAAAGGCCATTTGTGGGTTTTATAATTCTAATGAGACATTTTAAAACTTTTAAACCAAGTTTTGCACCATCAGCCACTGAAGGACAGAGCCCAGACACATACACACGGTTCCTCACACTATTATTTACATATGATCTGGAAGTGGAGGGGGGCATACAGGTCACAGATAACATAGCCAGAAGCATTTAGCACTTAGATCTCTGATGATTAGCTCATTAATTAGAATTAATCTCTGCCAAACAGACCAGAACAGGAGCAAGAGAAGCAGCACGAAGGAGTTTCTCACACTTTCATCATCTCACAAAGTCACCGACTCACATGGGAGCAGATTAATGGAGTGTGAGAACGCACGTGTCTGCTGCTCCGTAATACTGACACAGGGCAGGCGGGGTGTGAGAAGCAGAGAGGGAACAATAACGACATTCCCACTGAACACAGCCCTTTAAATATTTGTGGGTGTGAGTGTTTGTGTCCGGTGAGCCAATTAATGGGTATGCAGCATATTGTTGCATCAGTAGAACTTGTTCTGCAGTGTGTGAAAATATTTGTGTGTGAGGCAGGTCAGTGGCTGCTGGGTGGTACGACTAAATTAAGCTTGCAAAACTGGTGTGCATGGATGTGCGCGCCTAGGGATGTCATACTGCTTTCTTTACAGTGAGGCTACACACATTTAGGAAATGAGGGAGTGAACTTGTGCATCTTTGCTGTACACCTGAAATGCATGTGGGAAATCCAATGCAGGTGTACAGCAAAGATGCACAAGTTCACTCCCTCATTTCCTAAATGTGTGTAGCCTCACTGTAAAGAAAGCAGTATGACATCCCTAGGCGCGCACATCCATGCACACCAGTTTTGCAAGCTTAATTTTCTCGTGTTGTTTATTTAAACTTGCTGCATCTTGTATAAAGTCATGCTCAAGATATTAAAAAACCAGTTTCATTGATTAAAAACACACTATATCAGATTCTTATCGTATCGGCAGAAATCCAAATTTATGATATCGGTATCGAACATAAAGTGGTATCGTGCCATCTCTACCGCAGATACTTAAGGCTCAACAAAAACACCTGAAGACAAAGTGAAGATGCAAAGCCAGAGTCAGGAAACCCGAGTTTTAACTCTGCATGTCTCAGTCACAGATTTTGCCTATTCAATGTAGGATCTTAAAATAAAGTTTTAATGTTATAAAAGAAAAGACTGATTTAGAAGAGACTAAATTGTATTCATGTACAAAAACGTTTCCTCATAAAAAGGAAAGAGTGAGCTTAAGCTTTTATTCATCATGTGAAGAACATCAGTATTTTAAGGATAGACTAAAGTTTGAGTTGACAATGCATATAAAGGGTCAAGTATTACAAGAGCAGAAAATGATTTAATACCTCTTCATGAATACGTATAGTAAGTATCAGTTAATAACTATGTGGGGGTGTTAAATATCGGACCATTGATTGGCAGTCTGCCTCAAATTAAGACCGTATCCCTACTGCAACCCTGACAAAGGTTCTCTTTTTACTATCTTGATGTAAAATGATTTGTCATGTCCATCCATTTCATGGAGTTTGCCATTATTCAGCGCCTCTGAATCAGATTTCAGTTCTGGCATTCAGTGTTCTCTAGAATAAAGTGCAAGATCAGATTTGTGTCATCTGACATGTGGCAGATGCATCTCCCCTCCAGCTTGTGTGTGGGTGTGTATAATGCTGACACAGGACGAGCCCTGTGACCAGTTAACTCAGCGAGTTTGCAGTTTCTGGATTGGTGCACTCGTTGTCTGCAGCCGACATCCCCCTCATCCCTCTCCTCACCTCTACTGCTCCCACTGAAGAGCCAGCATTCATTTTTCTGTTTTGTCCATACGACAGTTTTAAAGACAGATGTTAAAACTGACATCATCCACTGGGTTTCAACTCCACATTTTGGCACTACATCTGTAGTATTTCAGTTGCTGTTATGGTAGTTTGTTTGGTACCAGAAGTAACCATTTTTAGATCAGAGGGTGGCGTGCACTGTGGCAGTTGAACAGCAAGCTGGAGTCATAATATGGTTGTGCTGATGGATGTTGTCAGTGACCAATTATGGTCAAAAATAAATGTCAATTATATCAAGTGTTTGATCCACATGTTGTCTATAGTATAGCACCACAACAACCTCCTTTGCTGCCCAGCAGTGATGCAACTGGCGACGCCACAGTGGTACTGTACCGCTGTATCTTGTAATTCTAATTAGTTCAAGATACTAACACTAGAATTTCACTCTAAACACAACTTCATCACACACACCAATTCTATTCTAAAATCCAGTTTTAAAGAACACGAGACTGTGGAAACTGCTTTTGGCACATCTGTGTTGGCTTAATGTTTTGGCCCTGGAGGTTGCAGCTGGGTTGTATTCATTAGATTTAATAAATTTGGGTCCTAAAAACAAACACTGATCTGGGTTCGACACATTCTCATAGAAAGTCAAAGGCAAGTTTTGACAGTGTTGTGAGATTAAGCAAATAAGTGCTAAAAAGCTACACTGGTCAAAGGTCAGGTTTACTGATCAGAACACCATAAGAATTTTATCCTACATGGGTTGTTTAGTTTGAATCAGCATAACACCAAAACACTTCCTGCCATGCGACCATACTTTAGTCAGACCCTAATCATCTGCTCCCATTAATAAATAACTGAGACAGGCTGGGTCACAAGGACCATATTCAGTTAAGAATTGTGTCAGAGTGCGTGTTGCGAATTAGTGTGTGGCATTCTTTCTTACCTGGCAGTCAACGTCATCGTCACACACCCAGCTGGCCGGGATGCATGAAGAGTTTCCACACTGGAACTCGCTGGGCCCGCAGGAGGACGGCGCGCACTCCACCTCATCCGAACCATCGCCGCAGTCATCCTCGCTATTACACACAAAGTTCCGGGAGATGCAGCGTCCACTGGCACATGTAAACTCATTTGGGGCACATGTGATGTTTCCTGGAGAGGGTTATGGGAAAAATGTGAGTGTGCTGTGAAAGGACTGACAGCACAGAATTTTTAATGCAGTAACAGTAATAAGACTTTTTTTTTAAAGCTAGAATTTATGACCTCTGTTTACTGTTATTACAGCTTTAAAACAATAGGCTAAACTTAAGTTTCAAGCCTCAGCCTTTGTTTCCTTGGACAAGCAGCAGAGGACATGTCTCAGATTAACAAGCGCAATGCCACGCTTCAGCTGGAGCAAAACATTTGTCACATGAACACACACAGACCGAGTCCTGAAAAGTTCACACAGGGCAGAACCGAGTCAACAACTTGCTGTGTGCCTGTTAACGACTTCCATCCAAAATATTCAATATTTAAAATACTGCATTTTGTGTTTACAAGTCCAGCTTGATGACCAGTTCACAGCCATTTTTAAAACCTCAACAGCAAAACCCATCATGTGTGCACCTCTCTGCTTTCTCTAATAACACCAGTGTTAGTTTAGTGCAGCGACTGGAAGCTCCAAGAATGCGCGAGACATTGAGTTTGCAAGATTGCGATTTACACTGTATTGTGGAAGCTCACTTTAAAAAAAAAAAAAAAAAAAAGGTCACCGTCTAAGCACGCTACGCTGCAGTAAGTCATCACAGCACACAGTTCAAGGACAACAAGGGTGCAGACTCAACAGGAACAAACAATTACCCGTAGCTGAGCTTCTGAGTGTTTTCAGCTGCTTCAGAGCTGATACTAAGCAGTATTTAAACAATGATATATGTATAGTGTCACACATTAGTGCTAATGCTCAAAATTGGCACCTTTTAGACAACATGAGTCACGCACTCAGCACAAATGTGCAAAGCCAATTATTAAAATCTTCTAAGATATGGCTTAAAAGTATGCAAGCCATTTTAATGTGTATGTGAAGTAATCATTTGCCCTAATTAAAAATCTAAATGTCTACAGGGTGCTTCACTGTCAGATTGTGTTATCGTTCAGACCGGGCTGTGCAGGAAAAGCCGTTAGCTTGTTTATGCAAGAATTTAGGATAAACAGCTGAGGCGGCAAACTGATGCCAGCGATTAGAAGCAGGTTTAATACTTCAATAAAAGCTGGAAACCAAATGCTACAAGTAATAAGCAGTACTTCGAACACTTCTGAAACACTTAAACACACCAAGAACTTATGCGCACTTGTGATATTAATGAGATGGCAAAGAAAACTGCTCAGCTGCAGCTCTAAAGGAGACTTCAAATGGCTTCACAGTGATAGTCTCAATTCATTACGTCCACGGCAGCATTTCTGCAGCTCCCAGCATCACGGTGCTCATCAATGAGCAGCAAACATGAGAAATGAAGATGTCACTGCTTAGCTGTGACAAACTACACGTGTTTGATGGCAACCTGGGAATGTTTTAAATCCCAAAGGATTTCAAGAACACCGAACAATATCCTCATCACTTAAAATGAATAGCCAGTTATTGAAATCAACTGAAGTCATGTGCACTCCAAGCCAAACAGCGTCCACCTACCACAGTTGACCTCGTCCTCGCCGCTGTCGCAGTCCTTCTCACCGTCACATTTCCAGAAGACTGGGATACACTGGGTTGAGCCGGCGCCACAGCTAAACTCATTCATCCGGCATGTCCTCATGTCTGTATGGAAAGAAAACAAACAGATCTTAGATATTTTCATGCTCCGTCATATATTCCGTGTGTGCGTGTGTATATATATATATATATATATATATATTTTTTTTAAATGTTTAACATATTTTGTAAATTACATATTTTCTCCCTTTACCAACAACACAGGAAATCAAAAAGACAGAACAGCAGAGATGTTTGGCGTTCTGCTGCAGTCACTAAAAGGCCAAAATGTACCACTAAGAGTCCAGCTGACTGCTGGTGCTGTTCCAATGAATGATGTATTCTACAGGGATATTAAAAAGGACCAATTTAAGCTGAGATGGCTCAACTGTCTGCGTGCTTTTGTAAGCAGAGGTAAGAATGCAAGACTCCTTTACATGGGTTTAGGAAACGATGCACATCATGTTTATGTGATGAACAAAAACACTGTATCATCTAAAGGCTGCAGCGACTCAGTTACCTTTTAGGTTCATTCGTGGCGGCCCCAATGACAGTAACTGACATTTTGTGAGAGCTGGAGGGCTCGGGGCAATGTTATGCTGCACTGAGGTGCGACTGAAAACAAAGTCAGATGTTCACAACACCTCAAGAACCATACAATTGCAAGCTGTTAGATAATCCATTTAGCTGGAACAGCAACAGCTTTGATGCAGCAAAATCCTATTTATACAACAGTGTTGAGATTCCTTTCATGTTTACGGTGCAAATATTTTCCAGGTTAATCTGTCAGAATGTACATCATCTTTTCCATTGTCTTCGGTTTTGTTTTAGCATTGTCAACTTTCTTGATCATGTACTTTATTTTAAAAGCCAGCTACTAATACAATACGATCCCCTTTATGGCCAGAAAAGGGGTTAAATTCCATCTCCAGAAATGCGACTCAGAATTCTACTGAACTATCAGGAAGCCCCTTTTTCCTCCCCCAGGGTACATATTCCCCTAACAATACTTTCTTCCATAAAATTTCAGCTCCAAGATCAAGTTCGCTTCTTATCCCTTCATCTCACACTGGAGATAAGCAGCATGCACATAAAACTGGCTGTGCAGTGATAAGAGCTGCTCTGTGGAGCAGCAGATGAAGGTGAATAGAAGAGTGACTCCCACAGATGTATGAATTATTGACTATGAGAATTGTAGTTTGGGTGATAAGCCAGGCTGGTGATATACTGACATAATTCTGAACCCAGTTTGGTCTCTCAGCTGCACACTGCACACACAGTGCACAGGAGCCAGTGTGCGCACTAACACTTATCCCCATCACTGACTAGTTGATTTTGCAGTCTCCTCTTCACTCTTAAGAATACAGGGTGAAAAGTTCCAGTTCAGCCATTAATCAGTAGAGTACAAGTTTCTGCATAGTCTGTACACTGCACGCGCACACAAAGTACTTGAGCAGGCTGGTTTGATGTCTGCATCAGAATGAAGGTTATTTCACTGAATGGCATGCTTGTTGGTGCCAGACAGGCTGACCTGAGCCTTTCAGATGATATGCTGGGATTTTGTTACCCGTTTAAGTTCAGAATGTGGCTGCTGGGCTGGGGTTAGCATTCACTGTTTTCTTGGCTAGCTTAACTTTAGCATGCTGGCTGGCTGTGCAGATGCTTGCAAATAGCTGAAATTGTGTTAGCAGAATAATGCAGTTGTTTCTGTCCTGGATGCACCACGCTCTTGTCCATGCTATAAACTGTGCCATTATTTTCCCACTTAAACACATGAATTGAAATCAGCTGATTGCGGTGGAAGTGGAACCAATAAGCAGAATCGATAGGCAAGCCAACTACAGCTGGGCAAACACTGCGATTTTTTTTAGTCGCGTTATTCAGCTCCTGCTCAAACTGTACGATTGACTCGCAGGGGTTAGAAGTTCCTAATTCACGATGCAGGGTCTCACACTATACGGCCCGATGCTCTGATGCGACCTCAGTGCTCACACTGTGCGTCCATAACATGAAGGTTATAACAAAATCTGTCTCTCGCTCTGAGTGACACACAGACCACCACCATCAACTTTGCTAAATTGCTAATGAAAAACATTGATTAGGCAGCTGTGATTGAGCAGCAATGTCCATCCAACTATTTTCACGGTTGTTGCGGTCGTGATAATTTTGTGAGGCCACATCGAAAAGGCTCAGATGAGCAAATACAGAAATTAAAGTGAAGACTGAGCAGCACAACAGTGATGAAAGCACAACTTGTAGAACTTTGGCAAGCTCTACAAGTTGTGCTTTCATCACTTGTGCCCAGATCACACGCTGCACTGTTGTGCTACTCCGTCTTCACTTTCATTTCTGCGTTTGCTCATGCGTGGTGTGACAGGCTGCGGTGACACCCTCACGATGGCCAACAGGATTTCAAACAGGTTTGATTTTCTTACGACGAAGCGATTGATGATCGGAAGCTGGTCGTGAGGTGTTAATCGCTTCGTTACCCCACGTATACTACACGATGCACGACACACGATGAAGCCGAAACTCGGGCCGACCCCCAAAACAGTCAGACGACTGAAAAATCGGCTCAAAAGGGCAAAAAAATAAATAAAATAATAATAATTATAATAATAATAATATCGCACCGTGTATGCCAAGCTTAACAAGACCAAGAAATTTAACTACTTGCACCACTGGGAACTAGTTCTTGTAGAGAACTGCTTCTCTATTCCCATCCCTATCCAACCAGGTACTAGCAAGGTATACAACAATGAAGTGACTGAAGTCAAATTTGAGTTAGCAGTTGGTAAATTCCAACAAACTACAATTGAGCTGAATAAAATTTGTATTATGGCATTTTAAGATTATGGTAGTTTCACAGCAAATGACATTAACATTTCTCATTAACATTTTTGCCTAAGGAGGCCTTTATAGGGGCTTACAAAGGCTCATTCATCTCCCTTTAGACTAGAAATAAAAATAAATAAATCATTTGTCTATATAAACTAGTGATGTTTCCACAGTGAAGCTGGCTTTGAAAGAAACTCCATTTGGACCCTTCCTTCTAACCTTCATGGCAAATCACTGCCTCCAGGTAAAACCTCCATTACCTTTTCCTGAAAATTCTTCATATTTTATTAACTCTGTAAAGTCTGAACTATGAAAAACCAAACTGTTGTTTTGAATCCAACTGGACTTTTTGTGGAATCTTCTGAGGAAAGAAAAATCTTGAAAACTGAAACACTCATGTACACAAAAACACAGCTGTTGGCTTAATCTTTGACTTGATTCTGTGATTAAATCAAAGACCAAATGGCAGCTCTGTGTCGTCCATTTGTCTTTACTGATTTTGAACGTAGCTCTGAGCCCCTCCAAGCTAACATACACATGCAGTTTCTCCTCAATACACTGATAAGTGCTCCCAGTAACCAATTACGTAGAATCTAAAATGGAATTGAGACTGGTATAACAATTATACCACAAGATTAAATACATGTTAACACTGTTTCAAGGAAGCAAGCTTTAAATTATTAATCTTATTTAATGCTACTTCCAATCATGAACACTTTCCAAGCCTCGAGTTTACACCAATTTAAATTTCTCTCATTAGCCACATAAAACTGACACTTGAGACAAAGCAAACATGGAAGAATCCTGCCAAGATCCACATAGTGAAACTACGCCTGTTCTGCAAGTTCTGTTTACCAAGAGGTCTCAAGTGTTTTTGTACAGGGAAATAAACTGAAATAATTTCCAGAAATGCAACTGCAGTACAAAAGTCCTTCATGCAAATGTGAAGGAAAAACAGGCATGTAGCCACTCAGACGACGTCACTCTGTTGCCTGCTGTAAAGTCATGAGCAACAGCTGGTCAAACAGTACAGCGATAAATGCTACAGTAGCAGTGTTGACTGGCACGTACACCACTGTAGTTATGACTGGAACTTCTCACACAGACTGAAAACTGATATCCCTGTCAAGACCTTCAGTTGACCGAGACACTTTTCCAAGTGAAAAGTGAGACATGCACTACAAGCTTTTGTAGAGCATAAACCGTACAAAAGCTCAAGCTGATTTCAGAGAAAAACACTTAGATGAGTTTCATGACTTCAATCAGGGGTGAAAGAAAAAAAAAAAAGAAAAAAAAAAAAAAAAAGGGGGGGGGGCAGTTAAATGGCAACTGAAAGTTACTTTGTTCTTAAACTTGGGAATGTGGCTCCTCCAACCCACCGGACCATACTCTCACCTGCCAACATTCCCGTTTATCCTGGGGTTGTTATTCTCCTCAAATGTGTTACTACAGTAGAGAGTCTCACCACTTCAAGCTTCTAACAACTCGTCAGTTAATGTTCATAAATACACAAACAACACCTCTGATTATAAATAATATCTATGAATGTGAATTTTTAAACACCAGTTATATACAAGTTCCCATTCATAAATATTTTCTATTCCATTGTTTTGTGCTCAAACCTTGATAATGTTGCAATACAGACCTCTAACATTTGCTTGATGGCCTACGTATGTGCTGCGTATGTTGCATTTGTAATTGCATTTTGTAACCAAGCTAGTGGATGGACAGACACTTTTTACATACGCACAACTTTATGAGAGCTGCTTTTTGACAGGAGCGGTTGAGTTCTGAAAGCACTCCCAAATACTCCTAACCCTCCTGTTATGTTGGTTTCCAGGAACACGAGTTATGCTTCTGGGTTAATTTGACCCGGGAGAAATTTACTCATCGAAAAGTGTCAGAAACACTGGCATTGATTTTACAATTTTCTTTTATAATTATGATTAGTTTCATTTTCTGTAGTGATGCAGATGACATGTGACATCTCTTCTGTTCTGGGTCAATCTGACCTGCAACATAACAGGAGTGTTAACCTGCAGCTCACCAACCTTGTTTGCGCCCCCATTATTTTAGCGTTTTGCCTGACTGGCCCTTCGTGTCCTTTGGAGCCCCTAATGGGGTTTCGTGCTCTTGTATTAACAGTAAAATAATGTCCAGTGTCAGTTTTTACTGTTGAGTATTGATACTTTTAAAAATTGGTGACCTATAACTACTTTTTCCACTTGTGGTCCAATCCAATACATTGTTACGGGCATTTGTATACATCTGGTACAAATTCATTACCAGCGCTAAAATATGAAGTCCCCGAATCATTTTATGGGTTAAAAAAACAAAACAAAAACAAAAACAACAAAGTTCAACTTAATTATTTTACCAAATAACAAAATCAAAGTGTAACAAAGGTCTTTAAGATGACATCACTTATGCATTTGCTTTTCCTTAGGCCAAAACTAAACAGGCTGAGGATAAATACAGTGAAAGAAAACAGCAAGTTATTTTTTTTCCCCTTACTGAGTCTTTCGACTGCGGCATCCTGCTGTCATTTACAGTCACCATATTCTCCTTTTCTTGCACCTGAAACCTACGTCGGCGTGTGGAGCTGACAAGATTCAGCTGAAGTCAAATTATATTTAATGGTGTCACCACAGCATGCTGTGTTACTATAAGTAACAAAAGCTTCCCAACAGGTGTTCAAACCAGCATCCATCAGGCTTCTGCCTTCTGACTGAACGTCACGGGCGAAAACAAATAGTGGAGCGACTGAAAGGAAAAACACAACTACTGTTGGATCTTTTCAGCCATGTCAACTTGCTTCACTACAGTTGGCAGTTAAGTAAAAAGAACCTTGTTACTCCAACATTAGTCTGCTTTAGCCAGAACACTGAAACCTCACAACTGTCCAAACTAGTCTAATCATTACTTTGTCACATTCAACATGATCAGCTTTACACTGGGTCAAAATGTGGTGCGCAGGCAATAAGACGTGTTTATTGTCAAATACACAGAGAAGGGTTTGTCTTCAATCCAACAACGCGACCTGGCTGCTTAGTATTCCAAGACATTCTAGTTCTCATTTGTCCCATCTGGGAAGCCATACACTGATTTGCAGTTACTGAATGGATAACAGCAGGTGGTCAGCCAAGTCTTGTTTAACAGTGGTTGTATTATACAAAGTTATTTCAATGTTTGAACTGATGCACAGGGGGATGAATTAGAGATTTAATTCCTTTTCATTCATTTCACTGACGACTTTACAGTGGAGTTTCTCTCCATTTTATAGGCCTAAAAGTCTTTGTTTTCACTTCACCCACTTTGTCTTTCTAACTGTAGGAATTCTGTTGTAGCCTCAGCAACACCTAACAGCCAACGGCTTGGAACAACTGCTGCTGAAACGACTCCCCAACGGGTCCCGCTCATGTTTTGGCAGAAAGCACCAAACATCCCCTCACAGGAGTGCAGAAAGGATTGGCCCCAACTCTAAGATGTTGCTTTTCTGCTGGTTGTTACTTTCGTATCGTTTTCAGGTTTGTGCACTGAACCTGCTGAGTTGAAATACTGCAGTGGGAGGAAAGGGACTATACCAGACACATGACTGCTCATTGTGAAAAGTCAGAGCTGGTGCGCAACCCTGTCAGACACCTGAGATGCTCTGCTGCCCCAGAAAATCTCACTCCAAACACTGATAAAAGTGTTGACACCCCCGTGTTCCAAGTTAAATTTAGTGCCTGGTTCTATAATTGTAACATTAACCATTTGCTCGTGTTCCCCCAAATAATGTTGAAAGTCATGTCTGTAACAAGCTTGAAACTGTCTAACTGTAAAGTCATTATTTTAGTCCATTTATTGCAATAATTTAAACCCCCACAACAAAACTGTTCCTTCCAACCTTCACTGCCATGCAAGTCGAGTTCTAGGTCACAGAAATGACATAATAGGAATTCTTCAGGGACTTTAGGACTAAAACGTAGTTTGATTTTCTGCTTTAAAAATAACAAAGGAAGGGTGTTGATGTGTGCCAGACCAGAGTTTCAGTATTCTTTTACAGCAGCATTCATGAGCTATACTTTCTGCATTTTTATCATCTGCAATCAAGATTTTAAAGCTGCAGTGAAACCACTTTCATCTCCACTCTGATGTTTATCTATACACCTGAGGAGACACCAAAGTCCATTTGTCATTAACGCAGCACAGTGGAGGCAGCACACAGAAGTGATTCATTGAAGATCATCATCATGAGTCATCTCTGATTTCAACAAGCACCTTGGTGAGACCTCATATCACACAATATTTAAAGCACAGCAGCTTTCCCATTTAAACAACTTATTTGACAGTACTGCTTGTGTGGGGGGGGGGGGGGAACTCTTCCCTCACTGCTTTCAAGTACCTCGCTGAATTTCTGCAGCAGCATGAGCGTCTGTTATGAACAGCAGGGAGACTACCATTCACTTTGAGCTTAAAAAAAAAAAAAAAAAAAAAAAAAAAAACCCAGTCTGACCTCATGGAAAGCTTATTAAAGTTTATAAATGTGCTCTAGCATGAGTAAAGGCAACTGCTTGAAAATACAAGTTCAGCCACAGTTTTAGCTTCCCACAAAGGGCAGGTATGAAACTTACAGTTAAAATCTGTAGAAAGCTCTGCATCGGGAACATCTCGCTGCACTATTTGAATACATTTCAGTGTGCAAATTCAATTTCATTAAATTTAGGCCAAGAATTTTATTTTATTTTTTTAATTAGTACTTTTGAACTTCCATTGTGTTGGTTTTTGGGGCCTAGAAGTGACCATTTATGGAAAAGTGTGTGGACTGTTATCAGCAAATGCTATCAGTGCTTCAACAAGCCACATCCATGAAATCTTAAACCAGCTAATTAGTGCAGAGTAAAAAACTTTTAAATCAATTTAACTCATTACAACTGAAGCACAAACTTCACCAACCACATCAAGCCATTGGTCACTTTAAGAAATTAAAATGCACCAAGACGCACAAATGACGACGAACGGCCAGTTCAGTGACAAGTTCTCCCCAAAAAGAGTTTCTGTACCAGGCTGCAAGCATGCTTTTAATACTGTAAAAGGTGGGTCTCAAATGGGCATTACAGGACCAGCAGCAGCTGCTTCTCGAGTCAATGTAAACCTAATACTGTACCAGGCAGCAAACCAAACATGCAAACTAACATGCAAACTAACATGCATAGACATTTGATCGTGTGTGCTTCAACTGTCAACTCTAATCTTAGAATTCATTTCATATTTTCACTGTTTTTAATGCATGGTCTGGGATCCCAGTCACTACCAGTTATGGGGAAGCAGCTTTAGCTTTCATGCACCAAGCTGCTGGAGCAACAGACTAACTGATAACACATTTGAAGACTAGCGTTTAAAACCACACAAGTCAGACGAGCCATCACATTTACATCAAATTTGGGTTTTTGAAATCATTGTGTGTCATTTTTAATCGGTCTATTGTTGCCTTTATATCATCACTGGTTATGATTCTATTATTAATTCAGCTTATTACACTTATCAATTCTGTTTTCCATAATTCATATAGTGCAACTTTTGCTTTTTGGGGTGACAATGGACTTCCACCTCAACTAAAATGTGGTATAAAATAACGTTTTGCTTGCTTGCTACAAGTGTGATGCGTGCTTGTGTCTGCCACGACCCCATGGGAGGAAGGCCGACCTGTCTGTGGTGGCCTACATCCTTGTGGCTGATGTGAGCCAGTCACAAGGATGTGAGCCAAAGAAGGCTGGACAAACAATTTTTAGGTCAGTTTATCCTCTTTTTTGGGGCTGAACCTACAGTTTCCACTGCTGTTTGTATCTTTCACAGAAGTAAAGTATCTCATGCTGCTTGACCTCCTGAGAGAGATGTGTATACAAGCTCAGGTTTCACACGTTAATGTTCATGATATTGTTCCTTGTCGTTAATCTTAATCTGTGTGATGGCTGCTGTGCAAACCTGTGAATGAACCCATTTTCCTCCAAGTAATTTATAAATTAACAGGAGTAACCGACCTGCATACACCAGTGTCCTCTCCAGCGGCAGATACAGCAGGAACAATAATCAATCTTGCAGCATGCAAACCTTTTACTCAGCACTAAAAAGACTTCAGTTCTGGGGCTCTCACTGTGTGCGATCGAGGCTGATTATTTAGCCCAAGACCAATTCTTTGCCCCATTGGTCTTATAATAACCGTACTCTTAACTGCTGGGGAAAACTGAAAGCACCATCCCCTTCCTGTTTCTGTTACAGCCAAGCCTAGATTTTCTTAAAAGATTTACATGGGGTTGCAGACTGAACAGCACACTGAAATGACCACTGCCACGTTAAAGTTGGTTACATTTCATATTGATTGCATTGTGAAATTTACAATAAAGTAAGGTTGATCTAATGAGATAATCAGGCATTTAGACAATTACATTCTTACAAACTGAAAGGTTCCACTTTAACAGCTTACAGGTTCAAAACTAAATTCTGACCGAAAGATTCATATTTACTTTAGTTGCACATGTAACACTTGACTGTTGGTGTAGCGCAGCGTTCATCAAAAACCATCTACTTACGGCAGATGTCCAAGCTCTCATCAGAACCGTCTTCACAGTCTGGCTCCCCATCGCAGTGCCACCGCTTCGGGACACACTGCCCATTGTCACACACAAAGTCCGACTCCGCACAAGTCTTTTTAACTGAAACATGGGAGAGAAAATGAAATCACTGTTTGAATGAAATGTCTCACATTATACAAAGAAAAACACATAATATCAAGGGAAAGATCAAATCCATACTGGCGCACTTCATGAATATGAATTCATTTTTGCTCCTCTCCTGTGAAAAGGTCACCAGTTTACAACCTGTTCTGATTAAGCGAGATTCAAACACTACATTTGCATAAGGAATGCAGTCGATACGGTCCTCGGGAGGTTCGAGTGTCTCGCTCACCTTCCATCAAAGGGAGGCTGAAGACAAAAATAAAGTGTAATTTTTATTTGGTTGTAGGTCTGTTCTGGGACCTCACAACCCTTCAAACAGAACATCAGTGACAGTCATGAAAAGGAAGATCAGCAGCTCTCACACTGCTTTAGCTTTACAGATTTATTGCACCACAAACATTTTGACATTTCAAGCACTGCTGTTTTTTAGACTACGGTGATGCAAGGCTATGCTGAAGCTACATGCCCCCACCTGACACATGTTTAAACCCAAATCTTCATGGTCCAACTAGAAACTACATTAGTTCACTTGTGTTTGAAGACAGCCAAGCACAATAAATGCGTGCTATAGCCAAAGAACCATGAATGCCCAAAGCCCATAAATGGTTGTGAACGACTGGCTTGGTGGTTCATTCCTTTGAAATTATTGCCCTGCCTCAGGTTTCCATCTTTTACACTTATTTTATTCTCCATTAATATCAATAAAGTGCTAAAACCATTTTAAGCCATGAGCTTCCCCCATTTTAAAGACCATATAAACATAAGGTTTACAAAACTAGGTAGTAATTAGGTAATAATTTACAGGTCGGTCAACTTCTACAAACAGTATATGCATAAGAGCACTCAGAGTGCAACTCCACCCAAAGGGCGAGGGTTATAATAAAATGATTTCTTACGTTGTTAGCATTAATATGGAAATTAGAATGACAAAGACTCTGGCATTGGCACAAATGCTCTATGAAAACGATGCAGGTGTCATTAATGGGGACGCCATAACACGTATAAAAATGTTTTTCGATCTTCGTTTGAGCTCATTATCTCCCAAATAACTAATATTTCTTTAAGAGGTTTTGAAAATATCCACTTCCTCCCCAATTCGTGTGACCCTGACCCTTGACTGAAGCATTACATACCAAAAGGGTGAATTTTCTTTACTCATGATTGGAGCAGAACTAGCTGAAATCTTTGGGTACCATAAGCTGGGCATTCAATTTTGACCTTGGCTGCAAACAGTGAATTTCAAGGTCAAATGCTTAGGCCTTGTGGGACATTAGTACCTAGGTCGGCCATTTTGTTATTAGCCTCTACATCACAGTATTTGAAAATGTTGGTGTAGCTTCCAGTGTTTAAGCTAGACTGCAAACAGACAAACTAAAAGATCACATACTCCCTTTGGAAGGAGAATATTGTTCCTAGAATGTCACTTAAAGTCTGGAGTATAATAGTTTACTTGTCCTTTTGCCATGTTAATTATGTGGTTACACCTTTGACTTTCTGTCATCGTTGTATTTTTACTCAGTTGTATATAGTATTTGTATTCTATTTTTTTATCTTATTGTATATTTATTTTATTCTACTGTATATAGTATTTTATTCTATTCTGTACAGTTGTGTACTGTATTTATTCTTATTGTATTCTAATTTTTGCCTCAACTTTTGCACTGTCCACTTCCTGCTGTGACAAAACATGTGGGACTAATAAAAGTTATCTTCATAACACAACCTTTAAATTATTCTCAGTAACACTCTCACATTAAAAAGGAAAATACACCTTTATGCAAGTGCAGTCTCCAGGCTATGTTGGATTGATGAATCTCAACCAAACCAAAGTTTCAAAGAATCTGATCGGAACGACTAGAAATGTGGAAAGATGTTAATTTCTCATGTCGGTAGAGAAGACACAGAAAGGTTTCCAAGAAAACTTGTGAAACAAACTCCAACACTAGCATCTCTACTGGAGGCTCAAGAACACACTTCAGCCCTCTTCACCATCTGACCAGAATACAAATACAGACTTCAGAACCAACTCCAATTTGAAGCTCATGACAACAGCCAGCCACAGTGGGACTCATTACCAAACTCTTCTTTTATTAATTAAATCTGGATTCTCATCTTTCACGCATCAGTGAGCCTCAGTTCAGTCTGGGCTGAAAGTAAAACAGCTCTGATCTCCCAGAGAGAATAACAGTCTGAGACTCAAATACAACAACACGTCAGCAGCTGAGAGAGCGTGAAGGAATAAAACTAATTTTTAGTTTTCAGTTCACCATCACTGTTCGCAAAACCAGTCATCTGCTTCTGTTCTAACTGGCTATAAGTAAAACTCCAAATCTTCCCTGCAGTCACTCGATGCCGTGTATAGTGTACACTTCCAAAACCCATTTGAAATAGAGTTCCCAGTCTAATTAAAATCGGCCATCAGGAAATCCTGCAAAACATTGTTGGGAATTAAGTATGGCCATTTCGAGAGTGCTAAAGCACAGTACTGTGTACTGATAAACCTACACGCTCTTAAAAAGGAGCAATATAATCGTTCCATCTCAATTATCTTGTTTTTAATAATTGTTGGAAGCCATAATTTCAATTGACAGCAAAGCCCTACTTCCTCTCCCATCATCCCTTGTTCTTTTCTCCCTCCTAGCACCATCACATGACCCAGATAGATGAAAGTATAGGAGACACACAGCTGTAACTATATTTAGCTCTGCTCTATGTGCCACCTTGACATCACCAGGTCATCATGTCCCAAGGGAACCTAGCAAAGCTCCTGATGGGGACTGAGCCAACATGGCAGGTTCTGAATGTCATGAGATTATATTCATGTGTGCAAATGTTAAGAGAATAACCCATCAACTCCACTCTTAAAACTCAGTGAAGGATACGAAAGAAGAGGACAATGTGATTCGAATGCATTTATCTGCATCACAGACAATGTGTGCAGCATTCGTCAGGTCCTTTTATGACTTAAATATTGGTGGATCAATTTGAACCTCATACGTCACTTTACTCAAGTTCTTACTTTCAAACTTTGTCACCATGCTAGATGGGTAGGCGGGCACCATGGATGCCTGCCTACCCATCTAGCATGGTGACTGTCTTTATGGCTGAGGAGTAAAAGGCAATTTTGAGGGATTTTTTTTTTTTTTTTTTTTTTAAACACAAAATGCACACAATAAATTGATGGGATAAGCAGTAATCAGCAGGTGTAATAAAAAAATATCTTAATATATAGTGTGTCCCTTGCAGCCAAGCATAAAAAGAAGAAAAAATTAGTGCAAAACTAAGAATTTTAGTACCTGTTCTAACAGGTTTTGTAAATACAAAATCAATTCAAATCTGGCACCCTGTGAGCTGACCTTTACAGACAGCTCAGACTCCATTTCCTGCTTAATTTACATGTTGTTCACATTGGCAGGAAAAGTCGTTTAATTGCAAGCAAGGGGGACTGTCGTTCAGTCGCCCACACTCCAAAAGGCCACAAACGGTGTAAATAATTAGTTTCCAGCCCAGTTACAGCAAGAGAGACATAAATGGCAACTGATCCACAGAGCAGTGCAGACAAGCTCCAGGCAAACATTGACGCTGAGGGTTTTCAGGAGGTGAGCAAGTAAGGAAGAGACAGTCTCATTAAACTGATGACACAAATAAAAATCAGTTTGTTAATCCATCTGATTTTTGACTGTTACACTGTCTGTGGTCTGTATTGAGGACAAGCGTCTTTGGAGTAGTTAAAAAAAAAAAAAAAAAAAAAAGTCACATATGTTCACACCTCAAAACTAAGTAAAATTGAAGTTTTGTCCTACTTTCATGAATAAGAGTCAATAATGAAATGAGCACAAAAAGAGCAATTCTAATCATTTACTTCCTTCCCCGGTTCCATGCTAATGCTGACCTGACTGGGACCAACAAATTTATTCTGGCTTATTAGTTTCACTCCTCACCCATGTAATGCATTTGATGGATTATGTTAACTTCACATGTTTACATTTCTGATGGGACTGTGACATAATCTGTACGCCAACCAAATCCAGAATCAGTTTTGTTGTGTTGCCACAGAAGTGAACTGAGGTGGTGACATTTAGGCCACCAATTCATCCTTCCATGAGCAGGATGGCATGTGGGAGTGGGTCAAAATAAACTCCCACGTGTTCACAGTGATAAAGGAACATGTCACCAAGTATATTTTTACACATTTCTCAATAACCATAGCTCTACAGCAGAAAGTAAGACCCTTGTATAACTGGAGCCTGGCAGACTAAGTGTTACCAACACAATCACTTCATTGGTGATTTGAAAGATTTGATATATTTAACTCCAGAAATATCTGGACAGCTGCAATTCCAAGCTCTGTATGTCAGCACAATAGATTTAAAACTTAAGATGCAGAAAACCTGTTTTTACTCTTTAATGGTCAAAGTTTGAGCCAATTTGATGATGGACTCTGAAGCTTCTTGGACACATACCCCACACTGGGCAGGTAGCATCCCAGGAATGTAGTTACACACTCCAGAGACTGAGACCTCAACTACTGATGGGTCTATTTGGTAGCAATATCCAGTGTAAACTATTACTGATCACTGGAAGGAAGTCACTTGTTCACTACTCTATTAACCAGGATTCTCAGTGTTTACGACACATCTCATTTTCACAGCTCTGACTTAATCAGTTAAAAGTTCTTAGTAAAGTTAACGGTGAAAGATCAATGAGCTCCAAGTCTAACATTAGCAGCTCAGCTTCACTCATAACAACAAGAATACAGACAAGTGTGCAGGTATAAATGTAACCTGTGTTAATGCGATCTAAGCACAGAACCAACCCAGCTACAGGCTGCAGCACTCTCAGAAAGTGTCTCCGAAAGAGTGCGGGTGATGTGATGAATGTAACCACTCGACGTCACCGATCCTTTTGTTCACAAAGTCGTGCTGTAAAATCTCAAGTTGAGCACATTTGCAATCTTTGTGTTTGAAACCTTTGAGTCCACCAAGGACTAATTTACAAAATGATCTCATCAAACTTGGAAATAAGGACTCAGGACAGCAAAGCATTCATCAAGGTCAGAGCAAGGGAGCCGAGGTCAGTTTCAAAGATTTCTATAAATGTCCAGTGCTTGCTGGTCATTAGAAAACTAAAAAGTCTGTCCTACAACAAATGGCTTTTCAGAGCCAGAAAACCACATTCATCTTTTATAGTCTACAGAGTTGGTACATTCTGAAAATATCCCTTTTGCCCCAATAAAAATTCCTTCAGAACATGCAGTCAAGAGAGGAACCCTCTCTGGGAGGCACGCAGATCATTATCCAAGTCTGTCAAGGAGGAGAAAAAAGAAAGAAAGAAAACTTACGAGAGCACAGTTCACCACAGGGTACAAACCAGTAAGTTTCAAAATAAGGCCATTTCCAGAATTTGTCAAAATGCATATCTAAAAAAGATAATGCAGGATTCGCTCCAAAATGGCATTGATTTTAGAGATAATAGAAGATCAGTCAGCATAAGGATAACTGGAACTAGTAAGCACTGCGGAGGCTTTGAATGGGCATGATATGAACCATACAGCCTCATTAGAAAGACAGTCGAGGCCTGTCTATGAGATGCATGGGCATGTGCAGCATCGTACAGAGAAGCTGGATGAATTCTGATGTGCATCAGAACATTTAGCTCAGATTCAGCCAAATGCAGTAAAGTAGTTTGGACAGTGCCTCTCAGTACCAGCCGATAACCACCCAAAGACATATAGCAGCTTAAGTGGAATACATTTCTTCAACTACTTGAATTAAAGTTTAGAGTGTGCACTTCAACTCTATCTCGATCATTTCCACTGTGGTGGTGTACAGAGGTAAGACTTGAATTTTCTTAAATACACTTTAGCCAGTTTTCAGAATCTGGCATTAGCTATATTCAAAAGATCTTCATCCAAAGAACACAGATGAGAATTTGTGTGTGGCAAAGGTAAATTACATTTCCTGACATATGCAAAGGTCTGATGACCTGAATGTTTAAATTCAGACTATAATAATCTATTATAGTCTGGGACATTTGGAAACCATTTACTTCAGTGATTCATAATGGAACAAATCTGGCCACGTGCATTAGTCTTAGTCTTTCACACTTCAAGTTGTTGGCATTGCTGTGTGACAGCTGAGTGTTTTTCCTCACCACATGAGTTCTCGTCGCTGCCGTCGCTGCAGTCCTCATCTCCGTCACACTGCCACACGGACGGGATGCAGCGACCGTTTCCACACTGAAATTGATTGGCTTCACATTCTGTCTTCGTACCTACAGAGGACAGACAGTTTGAGAGAGAGAAGAAAAACAAAAACTCAACTTATTATAGTCCCAAATGTTTCCACATATAATTTGGAGTCTGGGATGTCATTTCCATTTTGTTTTAGTTCTATCAAGGTTCGCTCCAGTGCTTAAATCTCCTTTTAAAGAACATTAGTTGGCACATATTTTGGAAAGCCACAGTAACTTGTTTCACAATTCAAACTTCAACAACTAAAATGTAACACTAGTATTTCACAAAGAAATGACAATTTCATGTCAACTGAAAAACATGTGCAACAGTAAACTGAGTAGTTGTTGGGCTTTGCAACTATCACTTTAATTACAGCAACAACTTTGACTCACCGCTTAAGATAACAAATTGTGCTTGTTTTAACTTCACCAATACGCTCCTATTTTGCCTTTAAGTACAGTGGAGTCTATCCTAGCCGTCTTAGGGTGAGAGGCAGGGCACACCCTGGACAGGTCGCCAATCTGTCGCAGGGCACAGACAACCAATCGCACTCACTACTGCAGGCAATTTAGAGTTACCAATTAACCTATCCCCATTAGGGCTGGGCCATATCATACCGTAAACGGTAATACCGGTATAATGTTGGGCAACGATAGGAAAATGAAATATTGCGATAGAATATGGATAAAACGTGCATGCGCAGTGTCTGTTTTCATACATACATGGCAGAAAAGGCACGGTGCAGAATAAGAGTGAAAGCAGATAGTTGAATGGAGCGGATGAACCAGAATTTGTTTGTTAAAAAAAAAAAAAAAAAAAAAAAAAAAAAAAGCTGCAACTTCAGTGGTGTGGAGCTGGTTTAGCTTTCGTCCGTCAGATACACAACAAAGCACTATTTTTGGTAGAGCATGCTAGCGGGCCGTCGTTATTACTGTGTTGTTTGGAAAATACAGCACACTTAAAACAATCCTTTGATTTTTCTGAAAATCGACAGGTCCCCTTATGGATTCTGGTTTTGTTTACTGACCTCGAAACAATTTTATGTCGTACACGGCGCTCGAAAATCTGTCAAATGTTTCAGTACGACTTTGCTAAGCTACGAAGCCGCACCGCTTGATGGATTGTCGGAGCATTACGGCTATATTAGGCAGGAGCCTCGCGGAGTGATGCGAACTGTGCTTCAACATAATATTACCGTATTGTGTGTGTATAACCTCTAAGTTTTGTGGATGTTAAACATGGTTATGGTGAGGATGTTGGCCAATTTCCACTGGAAATGCATTTTGGTTAAACTGTTAGCAAGGAATTTGTACTGTTACATTTTTATATAACTTTAATGTACAAAAAAAAAACCCAGCTGCTTGTTTAAGTGAAAATACGTTTGGTTGGTTTTTTTTGCACTAATAAAATTGTGGAGTTGTAAAGTATCTTGTCTAGTGTCAATTATATCATCAGTTATATCATTATCGCAAATTCTCAAATTTATATTGCGATAAACATTTTTGGCCCTGCTCTAATCTCCATTAACTGCATGTCTTTGGACTGTGGGAGGAAGCTGGAGTACCCAGAGAGAACCCACGTGAACACTGGGAGAACATGCACACTTCACACAGAAAGACCCCAGCCTGAACTCAGGATGTTCTTGCTGTGAGGCAACAGTGCAAACTATCGTCTCAAGGTCAAACCATCACCCAGAAATATGCAGCGAGTAACTTTAAAAATCTGAAATAATGCTGCCGTGCAGAACTGATTTAATACTATACAAACAGGTTCTCTTTGCTAGTGAAAAGAGGAATCTATATAAAAAGAAAAAAGGAAAAAAAAAAAAAATCACAAGAATATGAAAAATTTGAAACTTTTTTTTTTTAGTAGGGTTAAATTTTGTTAAAACATGGATTTCCCCACAGTGCCTTAACTATAGGAAGCTCTTACGTGCTTGGACTGCTCCAAAACCCACCAGTTCCCCCACTCTTATCTTGAAAGTATAATGGCTGCAAACCAGCCCCAAGACATTCTTATCTAGCCCTATAGCCAAGTAGCTATTGTGTTCGGTTCTTTACGTCATTCAGATGCTTCCCCTTAGAACATTTCATCCCCATGTTTGACTACAGCTGGTGACTAGTTCTACGCTCCCAGAGGACTGTCCTAACCAGACTCTGAAGCTGACAGCTGCCATCCCCAGTGGCACTCTGAGAAGCAGCTAATATTGCAGTTTTCTGGTGTATGACAGTATGAGGATCATTCAGTGGAGCCTAAACGGCCAAGATTACCATGTTTACCACATCACTATAATTTAGTAAGGTGGAATAAATAAGTGGGGTGGGAAAAAATATGATGGCTTAACCAGAAGAATGATTCTTAGGCTTCTCCATAAAAACCAGATTCCAATTATGAGTTTTAAAAGTCTGCTTGTGTCCTAAATGACAACACAATCCCACTTTCAATACACTGTAATGCACCTACCCACAGCCTGCAATGAGATATCAAAGCCTCTTAAATAGAGACATTAAAATGAAAACCTTAAGCTCATTTTGACACTTTACAAGTAAAACAGACATAAGCAAAGCACCGATTTGTAGACAGTACTGTGCAGTGCAGTCTATTACCAGAGTACTGGAGGCGCTACTCCAGGTCTTAAAATACCACAGTCTGACCTTGCTTTAGTGTCGACTGTCTGCCTGACCAGGTGGATAACTGGAGCACATGATGATTAAAAGCAGCCCAGAGGAAGTCATGGTTCCAACTGAATCTGTATGCCACTGAGGTCAATGAATTTAAAGATGAAAAAAAGTTTCCCCCCCCGATAAAACTTGGTGTATAAAACATCAAAAGCACTGCAGGAATGCACACCAGAATTATAGCCCCGTCAGGCCAGAAAGAGCCTCTAAAAACTGCATTCAGACACTGAAACGCCATCTGAAGGATACTTAAGTGGGTCAGCAGCTCCTCCAGAGAGAAAAACACCCCACACTGATTTGAACCTGAACAGCTTCAGGCCTTTAGCTGAAGCTGCAACACTTTATTCAAGATCTACATCAATGAAACCATGCCACAGTTTCAAGACATGCTGCCAACACCAACGACTAATATTCAAATGTTTTGTAAGAGGCCAGACACTTTAAAAATGCAAATCTGTCAACTTTAATATGTCACTGCTGGCATCAGGGGAGGGGGCTCATGACGCAAGCCAGCTTTACACCCTGGCAAGACTGCATTTGACTTCTGACATTTCCCACTTATAGTTGGTACATTTGTTGAATGTATTATAGCATTATTGTTTTTTGTTTGTTTTTTTTTAAATCTAACATTTTCAGAGCTTAATACATCAGCTAAAGTATCCATGTAAGATTTTACAGGGAAAATATTGGAAGTTACAGAGCTTTGACAAATTCTAAAGCACAGGAGGTGGCAGGATTATTTCAGGGATAAAAACATTTAAGCTTACTTAAAAAAAAATAAATAAATAAAAAAAACACCACCAACCAAATCAATAATACACCCAAGTAAGAAACAAAACACTTGGGAAGGACATTCTTAATGAGTCAACAGGGTCAAGTTAATCATCAAAGCTCTCCTTTTCACATATTTTTACAAACACAGCCTTGTAGATTAAGGGTGTGACTACAGGCTTTCTATCCCGAAGTCAAATTTACTCCTGTCAAACCATCTACAGAGATGCTAAACACAAGCACAGCGCTGCACTAACAAAGCAAAGACTTGAACGCTTCATCAGAGCATGCTGTTGATCAGAGTCCAGCAGCTTCACCGCACAGGACGCAAATACACGCCTGCAGACATCCATTCATCCAAGACTACACCACCTGTACTTAAAGAGTTCATTTCATTCATTTTCCATTACATCAGGAAAACGGCAAGTAATTTCACCATATTAAAAATATAAATCAATCTAAAGAGACCAAAAAAAATCATTAACCAAGACAGAAATCATAGAAAGGAGGAAATGTTTAAAGGTCAGTGGTAAAGGCAAATTATTTTAAACTGCAAACATTTAAAAACAGTATATTTATCTAATGCAAAACTATTCATAGCAACTGTTAATGGTGGAGGGCACTGTGGGAAACCGACAATGAAGTGGATAAGATCCAACAGCTCTAAACTTCATATTACTGAGAGGAGTCAATTATGACTGCAGCCACATTTATACAGGCCATTGTTCCAATTTTTGAAATTTTAAATGTTTCCACTGAACTTGACAGGCTACACCATAACTTCACTCATTGATATAGTACGGCTCTTGTTACCATTGCAGGCTTCGATTTTATTAACAGCCCTTTATAAGCTTTATTGCTGCAGAAGACTGGGAATTAAGTATCTTTCTCAAAAGTGACAATGAAAAGAGCCCAATTGAAGGAAATCAGTCAGGTTGATGCTTTTAAACTAATTGAAAAAAAAGCAATAGATTTTATGTCTGTAAGAGCGGAAGGAAATTTATAATTAAAATAATGCTATTTTTAAAAGGAATGATTAAATGACTCCACATGTTATTGTGACTTTGCACAACTTCTTTAGAACCTTCCCTTATATATCCTCATGGCCACATTTGTCCCAAGTTTCATTCGACTTGACAGTGACATATGGACTTGATAACGGGCAAGATGATTAGAAATGATAGGAGACTAAGATTAGACTTAGTATTAAAAAAAGTTACTACAAGAAGATCCATCCAAAAACATGACTCCTGTCAGAATGTTTTATTTTCTGATGACTTGAGAAAATAAAGTCCGACCATGACAAATACATTTCCTTGAAAAAGGAGAAACTGCTAAATGAGTCAAGCAATTACATAAAGACTTCCCATTTGTAAGATGACCAAAACAAGCAGACAAAGCTGAATAAATAAAGCACTCCGAGAGCCTCACTAACATTCACATTGGATCTGGGAATTCACTGAAGTCTTCAATAGGCACTGCCAAGCAAAAGTGTTGAGGTGTCAATGAAAGAAAAAAATAAATAATATAAAAAAAAAGGGGGGGGGCTTATCCAGCACCTAGTGTTTTCCTTAATCCCTCAGCACTGC